GCAAAGCATTGAGTAGGTTGAGTGATGACATATGACCATGCTGCTCAACATTGCCAACTGAGTCCTAAGGGAGTCGAATCTTCTGCTTCATCACTTTCAGCATTGTACCCTATCCAATGCCAAAGTATGCCCCAAGAGTTTCGCATCCCGTCAACGCATGTCTTGCCAACATCGATGGAATGATATCTCCTAACTTGTCTACATTGGCAGGAACATCAATAACAGTTCGATTTGTGAAGGGGCGTCTCTATGGTCATTGGCGTTTTGTAAGTCCGTCATGTAGATAATGATGCAAAAGTAGTACGTAGACGTCTGTGTCATCCACTAGGACCCTAACATACATCTTCTCATTAGCATCAAATCAAATCGCTTGCTGTACTTTGATGTTGCCTGCTTCATCATAACTATGTTGTGGACAGACCTTTCCTTGGCATGACATCACTGCCTGGAATCACTTCAATTAACAGGAACCTCATCTTGACGGTAAAGGCCTAGCTGCTTGTGCTTTTGCCTATTTCTGAGCACCCAATCATCCTGCAGACTCGGGCATATAATTATGATGTCGATCAACTGTAGTTTGTTGTCATGAAAAGATAGTGAAGTTAGCAACACTAGAGACACGTTTCAACAACTTCTCTCCCTAGCTTTATTGATCTTTCCAAAGCTTTTGACTGCGTACAACATAAACGTCTTCGAAGATTATGAGCTAGATGGGCTTTCCAGCACATATAATTCAACTCATCCAGTCGCTCTACCAATACCAAGAAGCAACAGTAAGAACAGAGAATGGCTACACCGAAAGGTTCACTATTGGTCAAGTTGTCCGTCAAGGCTGCATCCTATCACCATAACTTTTCAACATCTATGCTGAATTCATCATGAGAAAGGCATTTTATGGTCAAGTTTCTGTTGGTGGACGAACGATCACCAACCTAAGATACGCCGACAATACAACACTCTCTGGCGTATTGATGGGGAAGGGTTGGGACGGGGGTTGGGGACAGTTGAACCCCCTAAACAAAACTCAAACTGTTTTTTCTATATATTCGAAACCAGTGATTTACAAATGTTGCTGAAAAGACATGATTTTCCTGGGTTTTTTCTCATATTTTAGTAAATTATTATTTGTTAAGCGTATGTTGGAAAATGACAAATCTTAAATTCACAGTCAAGCAAAAAATATGCTTATTTAAAAGCCTACATGTCAGGGTCCGCAGAACAGCGGGGCTCAGGGGACTCGAGCCCTCCTCACTTTTTGTATATGTTAAAGAGAACTAGAAAGAAAGAAAGAAAGTGGCCCGAGGTGAAATGAGGTATCAAAATATGTCCATCTTACAGTTAATAAATGCCTGAAACCCTTGAGCTTCCGGGGGCTGTGCCCCTTGAACACCACGCCAATTGGCGCTCCTCTCTTCCTGATCGTAAATACTTCACCCCCCCCCCCCCCCCAACCCGCTTTTAAAAAAGTTCGGCGGGGCCTGCATGTAACATGTATGAGTGGTGGTGATGCAGATTGTTTTTCTGCCCCTCTAAGTGTTTTTGCTCAGTATGCCACTGACAACACTTATAACAAGAACATCAGAAGAACTACTAGAACTCCTTAAAAAGGAGTGAAGGATGCAAGTGAATAATTTGGACCCTACCTCAATGTGAAAAAGACCAAAATCATGATTGATGGAAATTAACTACATGCAACAGAGCATGGTGGTTGATGGAGAAGAAGTTGATCAAGTGGACAAGTTTATATAATGTTCTTGGGTCAACGATTGTCAAGGAGGGTGGAAGCTCGGCAATATCTGCCTTTGAAATGTGGTGTTGGAGGAAGCTACTTGGGATATCATGAAGAGATTACAACACCAATGGACACAATTAATGTCCATCATCGGAGATCAACCGCCACTTGCTACCAGGATTGACGGTACAAGCTACAATAGTTTGGTCACGTTAGCAGAAGATCAGGAGACAACCTTGACAAATTATCATTCAAGGTACCTTTGAAGGAACACGTAACAAAGGAACACTCAAGCTCAGATGGACTGATGACCTTAGAGAAATCACTAGCCACCCTCTAAATACTAAAGACACTCTACCGGATTGCATGAGACAGATGCCGATCAAAAGGTCTCATCAAACGGGTCACAAGGGTGAGCCATGATCTATATGACAACGACGACGACGACGAACAGTAAGAGATAGTTTCTTGGAGGGCAGCAGTGACGCGGGAGTCAGTTGGAAGACTCTCGACCCGTTATGACCTCTAGATACTCTCGGATCTGTCAAACACCAAGCAAACATCATCAGATTTTCATCCACAGCAGAGCACAACCATCAATGACTGTACAAGGTTGTTCCAGTGTCTCGTGCCTGGCTGACATCTCAACTATTGTCAAATTCTATAAGACCGTCTTTGACATGGGAGTGCTCGTTTCCAGAATCATCAAAAAGTGCTGTTGTGACTGGTGAAAGCTCTTGTGACAAAATGTCCTTGACATTGACCTCTCTTGAACTTGTCTGCAGTCCTATTACTCTGGAGTAGATCAACTTTTCATATACTTTCGTAACCCAACATTGACTTCTTCATGGCTGCCACGGTTTGAACTTTCTTGGAAATTGTGTCATAGAATCCACCAGGTAATTTCTTTTGAAAATCATGCATCTGTCTAGTATAGATGTCAACTGCTTTATCCACATTCACTGACGTTGGAGCAATGCTGGCCTAAATAAAGCCTATCAATTGAATAATAATGTGTGCCGTAAAACCACTTCTCACCGATTTGATGTAAAATGAATTCTTTCATATCCATTTTTTCTTCTTGACATATGTAGGGTAGGTGTAGGGAATTGGAGACCACCAAGCTTGAACCCATCAATGTCTGTCCGTGTTGGCTCCAATATTGATATAGCGACATAATTATGTGGCCTTCAGCAACACTACTGCATATATCCAATTCATTTCAAAGACTACAATGCGTTCTCTCTCCGAGAAAATTGGCAAAATTGACCAAGATAAGCAATTTTGATCTTAAAGGTAATACAAAGTTTTGGTATGGGGTCATGAATTTGGTTCAAATGAACATATTGGAAGCATATGCGATCCTACAATATTCAGTGATAGTTGTCGCGGTTGAAATCGAGTCTAAAGTTATGAAATTGTAAATAATAAACTCTTTATGTTGTATAGCTTCCTCTCAAGGTCAAGATATTAATTATGCCATAAAACAATGTTTCTTGACTAAAATCGATCGATTAGCTATTCCCGTTTGGAAATTATATATCACAACTACATATTCTGAATATTTCATGGTCACAGCTAACACTGTACGGCCGTAGGCGCTATTTGAAATTTATCAAAATTTACCGGGAGCACCGGTAAATTTTTATATTCCATTTTTCTCGAAAACAAAAGTGTTTTAGGGGCTTAAATTTCTAGTGCTTATAATACATCCACAGGGTCATCCAAATATATCAAAATTGTAAAGAATCACCATCCACCCAATTTTCAAAATTTCCCGAAACTTTGTATTACCTTTAAAATTTTGCTCTGATATAAAAACACAATTTTCACTGAATGTTGTGGTGTATGCAGATATTTAGGGGTGGCTCTTAAAAATTAGTTTTAAAAGGAAGTTTATGAAATGTACCAACCATCACAGAAAGCTTATGGCCATTGTGTGTTGTGAATGGGTGTTGCAATTCACATTATGAATGGTGTCTGATCAGAAATGTGTGTAGGTAATGGGGGACACCGGGTCCAAGATGGGGGCCTACTTCTCCCCAGTTGTCCATTTCATGTTGAAAGGCACTATCATGAAACATATTTGCTTGTACGTGTCACCATTCTAATTTGAATGCATTTAATTTTAAGAAGTTGTTTCTATGCTGTGAGTTTGATCAATGTAAAAGTCATATTGCCAGATCATTGTTCTGAAAGTAGTTAAACATAATTGAGAGCACCCTTTATTACTGTAAACAAAAACTATAGAAATATGTCGGGCCACATTGTTTTAAAATCGTTTCAAAATTACAGTAAGTGCATTGGCTCCATGTATCTCTTTCAAAAAGTGTTTGAACTAACTATAACAATCCCATTTTCATTCAAATTGTATTTAAAATGTCTTGATTTGTAACTGTCCCTTATTACCTACATATGTAGGTAATGAGAGACCTTTGGTGATGACGTCATTAATCATTGTTATCTTATTAATAAGTTACATCATGACCACAATTTCGTTACCAAATAAAGAGAAAAAATACTAAAGAGAATACAAAAATGTCTGTATGTGTAACATTGTTCATATTTATGTAAATTATGCAAATGTGCTTAAGAGTCTTCCATTCCCACACCTACCCTATCTAAATTTGTACCAAAACGATGAAAGATTAATGCAGCACAACTGCAATTGTTGCCCCCAAAAAGCATTTAATATGATTTCAACGTGACATAGATTTAAGAAATTGGCATTTGGCTGGCACACATATTTTATTCAAATTAATATGTTTATAGAGGGCGTTATTTCAAAATATGCAAATAAGCTGGTCATCTATGGCCATGCAACATCACGAAACATTTTTTTAGTGATCGTCCTAGAGAGATACAGACATTTGGCTGCCAAAAATTGTAGAAAAAATCCTTATTATATATTTATTATTCATTTTTAAAGGAAAATCATGTACTTTGGCGGCCATTTTGTATGACGTCATATATCTTAAATTGCTCAAGGCTGACAGAGTGTCAGCAATCGGATTCTTAAAATAGAAGGTCTAGGCAATAAAAATCCATTGAAAAAAAACTATAGACCCTAAAACAAGGTTAGGCCAATAATCTGGATTTGGCTGCCGGACTATTAAGTGATTTTGACATGCAACATTAATTGATGGAAATATGCTTGTGTTGTTACATTTGCAATCAATGAATGATTCCCGAAATTCACAAAAAATAAGACGCCCGCAAAAATTACTGCCTTAATACACAGTATCCTTACATGTACCAGTGTACTCACCAGGCAATGCTTTAGGATAGCCGAGCATAAGAAGAGAGATGACGAACAGAAGACTGCCATTGGGGAGGAACCCTAACCACCAAGCCCCAACCCAATTCGGGTCACTAGGAGATACTAAAGCACTATTGAAGAAGACAAAAAATAAGAGAATAACATTTGGAAATAAGGGAAAGTAGACAACAATCATCAATTTTTTTGTTGACCAATGGTTGGAATGTTACATCAATACCCTTACCCTACCCTAACCAGCGAAATAGATTCATGTGAGCGGTGAGCGATCTAGCGCTCAAAAGCTTCAAAAGTGCTTGGGTAAATTGAAAAATAGCACTGGTATACATTCATAAACTCTTATGTTTATCGGATCTTGATCAAGCAGTGATCTTTTTCTATAATTTTTCTGTTTTTGCCCCTTTTTAAGATTAGAACCAATTAAATCTCAGAGTGCATTCCTTTAAATTGTTTTAGTTTGAATAAGTTAAAATGTGGTGTCAAATTACAGAAAATAAGCACACTTTTTTTTTTTTTGGGGGGGGGGCTACAGAATGTATTTAATTCATTTATTTTTACATCATAACTGGTATAAATATATTATTTTAAAACATAGAAAATAAGAACGATTATAAGATTTATAATTGTTTCCCTACCTGTCCGTTACATGAAAGTCTGTATAGACCCGGAGGTAGACTCCTCCCAGTGCGTAACCCAGGCCTGGTGCAGCTGCACTCATAGCATTGAAGATACCTGGTAAGATAAACAAAACAAACTACATTATGCAAAATGCTCTGGTGTTCAACATTATACACATACATGACTTAAATATCTTTTGGGATCACTGAAGGGGGTTACACATGTATTTCCAAAGGGTTATATTTTCTGTACCAAAAAGATAAGGTTTAAAAACATTTATTATATATGTACATGTAGTCTTTCAGGAGTCAATTGTGGGGTTCTAACTCACATGTTTCATTCCCAAATTAGGGGGGAAACTAACCTCAACAATAAACATACCCATGTTTGTTTTGAACGAAAACAAAGATATTTAGGAAAGAATTATGGTACAGCTTCCACATTAGAGCAGACTGCAAGGAAGGTGGTGGTGAAGATATTTTTTGTTAGAATTAATTAATTTTCATTTTAGCTTTCCAGGATTTCAGGTTTTCTACACCATGCAATGCAAAACAAAAGATATGGGTATGTCTTGCAAAATCTAGACACATATATTTCTAATGCAGTAAGTAATATCACCTGAAAACAGAAGTCATTGATGAACAAATAGCAGGAAAAAAATATTTATTTCAAACAGAATTCTCACCAAGGTAGAATCCAAAATCCTTAGCATGCAAGTTCTCATCCATATATGTTATGCCCAACGTATAGAGGGGTGACACTCCGATTCCGTGCAGTACCTGTGCTAAGATAAATACCCAGTAAAAAACAGCCAAATCTGATTCGGCACCACCGCTACCGTCGCAACTGTCCAACCTAGTCATGTTGTCGGGAGGCCTTTGACACAAGAGATTCGGCGATTCGCCCGCATCGTAGAGCCCCGTCAGGAAATGCGGGAGCGCAAATATCACCGATCCGAGGCTGAAGATGGCAGAACCGACGCCGATCCATCTGGGCTTGTTGCCCTGCTCACCGAGGTAGGTGACTAGGAGGGAGACAGAGAGTGCGGAGACGTCGTAGGCGCTGGAGATGAAGCTACTCTTGAAGCTGTCCAGGCTGAAGCGATGTTCAAGGGTGGTGATACTGATGTAGACTAGACCCATGGCAGTCATTCCCTGGATCAAGGACAGTGTACATACGAAGAAGAGAAAGCCCCTGGGGTTGTTGAAAATCTGTCACAGAAAAAAAATGTGTCAAAGAAGAGGAGTTTTTTTTTTTCTTTCTTTATTCTTATATCACACAGCTGATCTTAAATACAAGGAGTTAAGCAACAACTCTTCCTTAGGAATTCTCTCCCTTGAAGCTTCCCAGCATTTAAATAGAAAGTTAAATTTGTCAACAGAAGAAAAATGGAAAAGCTTGTTGAAGATATTTGTGGAGAGGGAGAAAAGGGGACAACGTGCATATTATTTTAGGTGTTCAGTAATAAAATTAACACAAACGTCAGTTTCAATTTCCAACTCTACCTTCTAGGGTTGTATTATATAAATTGAGTCCAAACTGTTTAAAGCTGAGCTTAGAAAAAGAAATTACATTAAAAACTGCAGTCACATACTTGTATACCTAAAGCATGCCACAACAGCATTCATTCCTCACCCTTCCCATGCCCCCTCCCTTTATGCCATGCCTAAATTTTTACTGAGAGAAACATAAATAATAATCTCACCTGAACGAAAGGAGGGGAGTACCCAAACCAGCCACATCGTGAAAGATCTTCAACATCTGAATGCACAATCTCGGAAATTGCATCACTGGTAACCGTGGCAATAGCATCTTCGTCTACCCTGTCCCGACTTCCATTCTCCCTGACCGGAGTTTCAACTTGTCCTCCTAAGTGTTCTCTTCCATCGAGTACCAGTACAGCATCATCGTCCCCATCTTCTTCCCTACTGTTATTTCTGGATTCGTACCTTGCGACGGCCCCCGGCGATTTACTTCTGCTTCCCTGTTCATTAGCTAATCTCGTTCTTGGGCTCGTTGGTGTTGTTGTACCATACTGTCTGTCCATTCCCTCATTGTGGAGGGGCTGGTCGCCTGATGACGGACCGATCATGTTGCCTTTGACAGGGTTCCGGTCGTTATCCTCATCGGTGAGTCTGTCGTGGCCTGTTGATATCACAGGCTCAATATCTGCATCAACCACCTGTAACCAAAGAAGAAAGTGTCCCAAGACAATTACAGTCTTAAACTATTTTTCATATTTGCTGCCATTGAGATTTTCACTAGCCACCAAAAACAAAAAAACAAAGGGAGTAGTGAGCAAGTGACAGTGACAGGGAAAAAAAATGATTCCCCCCTCTCCAAAACACATACCGGTACATTAACAAAATTGAGGGGGGGGGGGGGGGTTAACCCCCAAACCCTCACCACCCCCCCCCTCCCTGCGTGAGCATCTGGCCTAGTATAAACAATTTTTTCGAAGACTTTTGATATACTTGGAAGTAAAGAAATGGGGCTATAATTGCTAATTTCATGGGGATCGTCTTTTGTAAAAATTGGATTGACTTACCCGTTTAAAATAAATCAAGGAATACACCTTGTGATAACGAGTGATTAAATATGTGAGTTAAAGGCATAGCAAGTGGGTAGATTATTTCTTTTGGAGAGTCATACTTATTATATCGCAACCATGAGATTTTGAGTTGTTAAGAGATCGGATAATGTTAATAATTTCATTGGGGTTTGTTGGGATTAAGAAAAAATGACTCTTGATTTTGTTTCGGAAAGATAATCTTAGAAATGATCATTGGAGCAGTTAATTTTGCTGGCGAGTTCGAGCCGATATAAAAAATGAATTAAATGAGTTGATGAGTTGATGGAACACCCTAGAACCTGAATGCACCTTGTAATTCTCAGCAATCAGGTAAACGAACCCCAACCTCTAAAGAAATCTGACAGTCTATAAAGACTTCATTGTACTGCAGAAGAACCCGGCAAACATAAACCCATACAGCTATCTAGTTAGTAATGATTGGGAGCATATCAACATGTGATGCCTCACTTCCAGCGCTCAAAATACACGGGGGCAGTGGGCGATTCGCCCCCGTGAGCTACATAATCGCCCCCGTCAGGTTGCTCACGGGGGCGATTGCAAAATTAAAAATCGCCCCGTGGTATTATAATATAATGATTTTCTTTTCTGTTATAACTTTAACACAATATTGAGTTTCAATTTTCAAATGAAATGGAACTTAGATTAGCGTGCAAGATTTCTTGTTTTATGAGTAGGCCTATTATTACCGATTCAGCTCACAGTGCAGTGCCGCCGTCAGCAGTGGTTATAGGCCTACTGCGCCCTTAGTAGCGGTACGTGTGCACGCTGCCGCGCTATGTCTGCTGGAGCTGGAGGCGATCGCGCAAGGGCAGAAACATGGTCATGGAGAAGTTTTTTGTTGTGAAAGCGTTAACCCGCTGAAATCTGGTGATTTCAAATGACTAGCAAATAATGAACCTCGACCAGTAAATCAATATTAGGGACCTTTAGATTTGCACGTTGGGAACGTGGACTGAAACGTGCGGCCTCCTTTTAAGGCAGTGCAGTGCTTAAAAGGACGTGACATGTGACTGCCAGTGCCTTAAAAGGACGTAACACGTCCACGTCCACGCAAATCTAAAAGTCCCTATTGAGAAGAAGAGGACGACCAAGATGTCGTGGAATGATATGGTAACATGGGCAGATCTACGGGGGGGGGGGGGGGGGGGGGGGGGGGTTAGGGGTTTAACCCCCTCCTCCCACCCCGGCCCCCTTGGGCTGCCAAGTGAAAATGTGATATTAAAGCGGGGGGGGGGGGGTGCTGGAGAGGAGGACATGGGGGGGAGTGAAGCGCCGTTTTAGCATGACTTTCTTTTTAACTCTTACTTTCACCTATATCAGATAACCCTAAGTTTTTGGTTGCTGCTTTATATGTAGTTGATAATGCATGATTAAAGTAAAGAGAGAGAGAGAGAGAGAACCACCATCATTTTGCAATGGTTCAGGGTTCGTGTAATGTACATTTGAAACCATTTCTTAGCGTCTCAACCCTAACAAAATGGCAAAACTATTTTTGAGGAATAGCATTATACTGAATTAAATAAAGAATAATAGCTTTATATTGCATGATACTAATACTGATACGGGCTAAAGACAATGTGGTATTTGTATAGAGGTATTCCAAAATGACATTCTGATAATCAACATTTGTTCTGGTATCATAATGTATATACGCATAATACAACTGATCTTTATGATTTCTCAACGTGACATAGCTTCTTTTCCCCCTGCAAACAAAAAAGAAAACAAGGTTATTTAATAAAAGGATCATGCGACAAATAATCATTGTGATTCAAATTGATGCAAGGATTTTTTATAAGCAATGCTTTTCACCAGAATCTTCTTTGTAAAAATGACTTTTACAAATCTCAGCCATGCAAATCTGCCACTGTGTTGTAAGATCACTTTCAGATTAGGAGAAGTGTATTCTTTAATGAGTATTTTACATTGAATGGAACGTCTCAACTCAGTAAGCATGACTGAGATTTGTAAAAGTTGTTTTTACAAAGAAGATTCGGGTGAATAGCAGTGCTTATTCAAACAAATATTCGCATCAATTTGAATCACAATCATTATTTGTTGCTTAATCCCTTTTAATGACCTTGTTTTCTTTCTTGTTTGCAAGGGGAGAAGAAGATATGTCACGTTAAAGACATCATAAAGATCAGTGTTGTATGCGTATATATTATATTCACAGGCCAGTAACAGCTATGTAGCTTGTAAATTTGTAAGAGGGAAAATGCTGATTGGAATGATAATGATGAAATAGCAAATAATTGAGGAGTATCATAGGTACCAATTCAATGGATATTTGTATAAAAAAGAGCCCCCGTCAGTACTAAAAGAGCCTGTGAGAAGGCTCACAGGGGCTCTTTTTTGGGGGGAAGAGCCCCCGTGGACAAAAAATTAATTTGAGCCCTGCTCACTTCATTTGAACAATCATTACACATCTGCAACTACTTTTAGTATCTACCCATAATTAATTCCAACCCTGGATTTCCTCTGTTGACTTACATGTACCTTGGCCTTCACTTTTGTCCCTACCCTGGAGATGTAAAAGTACATGATAAAGTCATTCGTGTCTACAGTTATTCCCATTCAAACTTCGTATTCATGGTACAACCCACTTCCAAATCTGAGATTTTCTTTTTCAATTATTGTTGCAAATTGGTCCCAAGGACCTGTTTGACACCCAAACCCCCTACCCCTCCCCCTCCCCTTCCCATATGGTTTGGTGAAAGGTAAGTGCAGTGATCTTTTAAGGTTATAATGCTTAATTTTCTTCAGGTATGAACCAGGCTTGATTCTATTAAAAAAGAAGGTAAAGAGGGACTAAAATCCCCCCCCCCCCCAAAAAAAAAAAAAAAAAAAAAAAATTGTTTGATTCCTTTTGATAATAATAATAGAGTATAAGCCCACACTTTTTTTATTCTATTGCCAAATCTATGTTTTCCCCTCTGGCATTTAGATCTCTGGGTTTTTTTTTTTTACCTCAGACATTTTAACCGCTGACATTTTTACCTCTATTTTTACCTCTTGACATTTTTACCTGGCACCTACAAAAATAGGAGAGAAATCATGGTGATTGGGAAATCTATAGTAATTTTAAAGATTTTAATGGACCATAAAGTAGCTCAACGAAATGTGTGGCCACAAAAAGATGTGCCCAAAAACACAAAGATCATAAAAGAAGTGATGTTTGTTAATTAAAATTGCTATTTTTACATAATTGAATGGAAATTTAGCTAACATTATGTACCAGTAACAGCTCCATATCCCAATAATGCAGTTCTACTTCTGTGTGATAAACTCTTGATTCCCAATTTTGCATTCCAGACGAGTCTTTTCGAACCACCACATTTCACTAAGCTGCCTAAAAGCACTCAATCAATATCATTTGGCTTGACAATCTTAACAAAATTTTTCCCATTAACGTTCGCCTTGAACCCTTTACTAGAAATGCAATTTGTAAACAAAATTCTCTCTCTCTTCTTCCCCACTTTCTTTCTTTCTCTCTCTCTCTCTCTCTCTCTCTCTCCCTTTCTCTCCCTCTCTCTCAATCCTTTATCTCAATGTTTTACCCCTTAAGCAGACTTTCCTCTTAAAAAAAAAAATCCATTACTGCTCTTTAATTTTCTTTGATAGTTCAGACATCTTAACTAAACGTTGGAGGGAGGGAAAAAGATCCTTCTATTGGGGCAGCTCCAGGATTTTGCAAAAGTGGGGATCTAATTAACGAAAAAATGGGACAATACAAAAAACAATAACAAAAACACAAACAAAAAGAAACATCAAATATAGAAAGTGGGTCTGATCAGGCAAAAAAGGGAGGAAAGGCCCGAATACACGAAAAGCTCCCAACAATTAAGGAAATAAGGGGTAGTCTAGATCTTAGATCTGAAAACTGAATTTCACGACCCATCCCCCCCCCCCCCCACCATTTTTGCATGTACACACCTTAATATATTATTATTGCAAATATGTTTCTATTCATGCAACCCCTGTATCATAATCATCAAGATCAAGCGGCGGACAAAGCTCTGACTAGCACGCAAGCACACTAGCCAAGCCCCAAGGACCGGACTCGCAGTACCCTGGACAACCGTTGACCCTTTAGCACCACGAACTCCCGGCGTACGCGAGACCGGTACGTATGATGACTGATTAAACCCTACCCTGGCTCTTAACTTCTATTTCTAAGTCCTAGACTCGTGTGTTATTTCTTATTTTCTATACCGCTTCTCACCTGCATATTACCACCAAACAGGGAATCCATGACTGAAACTAATGACACGAGCACGAGCTAGCTTGAGGTTTTTAATGTCTTCTTCTTGACAGCAAATGTTGAAACTGCAAATGGTGAAATATGACCGACGCCTACTGCACTCTCTCTAGCTAGCTCTGCGTACACTTACCGCGTACGGCTAGCTGGCCGTGCACCCGTGATCCCTCCCATGCCCACTGACCAATGAGGAGCCTTTCAACTTTTGTGTTATGTATTCTAGAACTTTTAGATTTGCTTCTTCTTCTTCTTGATTTGTTTTTGTTTGGCAATCAGTCACAGTTGACTTTTTTGCCATACACTATTTTATGAATTATTTATATAGACCTAGATCTATATACATATATGTACAATTTCATGTCATAAATGACTATTTTTAGGATTCTTTCTCCTTCCATCCTCTTTCCTTCCTCTTTTTTTCTTTTTAGACTCTATAACTTTTTTAGAGAGAAAATTCAATAAATTAATAATTTTGGAAAGAGACGACGGCCTAGCAAGTTGTGAATAGAAAACGCCTATAAACTAAAACTAAACGTACGTACTTGTGTTTACGCGCACGTGCGCGTTCAAATATCACCTCACGTATGCGTGGACTGATACGTGTGACGTCCATTCAAGGCAGTGCATTAAAAGGACGTCGACCGTAAGCAATCCACATTGTCGTTGTGCAAATCTAAAAGTCCCTATTCACCTCTTTCCCGTCGATGACAAAAATAATGAAGATAAAACTCACCCCCTCCCCCCCCCCCCCCCCAAAAAAAAGAACAGGCAGGAGTGATACGTTCGAATAGATCTTGTTCAGATTCGGACTATTGAGGTGCATGGGGGGGGGGGGCAAATCTGAACAAGGGACTATATTCAATTGGTTACCATGCATGGACCCATGGCTGAGCTAGGGGAGTGGGGACATGTGTTGATTGATTGATTGATTGATTGATTAATTTTTGTTCGCAAAGAATATACAACAATATACAAGAATAGCAGATCAAAATATTAAGTCAGCTTGAACTGGATAACCCACCACGAAATGAGCTCGACAGCTTATTTCCAGTGGTGATATAGGCTATATTTCATGTGTGCATTGTGAGCCACCAAACCCCCCCCCCCCCACCCCCCCCCCCCCCCCCCCCCCCCCTCCTGACCAAATGTTTGTGAAATACATGCATCCACTTTTCACCTCTCTTCCAAAATATTTATTTGGTGACTTCCTAACTTATAAAGCCCCCTCTATATAAAATGTTGGGAGCCCCAAATTTGCCCCCAAATTTACTTAAATAATTTTGTGTACAGTGACAATGATGTGTGAGAAAGTGAATGTCATTTAACACAAAATTCTGCAAGGATTTTCACATCAAAATGTGTTTGAAGACGGATATTGATAAAAGAAAGTCATATTTGGGTTACTGTTGTACGCAGAAAACCTCAATTATGTATTCTTTCATCAATATTCGTCTTCAAACACATTTGTTTTGAAAATCCTTGCAGAAGTTTGTGCTAAACTTACACCCTCTTTCACACTTTTATACAATTTAGGGGAAATTTCGCCCACACATTTTTTGAGCTCCCAACACTTTGAAGATGTTTTGCGAGGTAAAATTGAGGACAGCTTCAAAATGACTATACTGAAACGTCAATATATTAGGTTGACTCTGTAAGGTGGCCGCCTGTGCCGCCTGTGCCGCCCCCTTTAATTGCCTCTTGGAACGTTAAGATGCTTATATAATGATTAATGAGGTAATATTTTATAGAAGAAAGAGCATCTCCCCTCCCCCACCTGGAAAAAAAATGTGATTTCATTTTGCCGCAATATAGGCCTATACTAAAGAGGCGGATCAATGATTTTGTTTTACTGGGGAGTGGGGGGGGGGGGGGGAGGGGTGGCAAACAAAATATCGTGCGAGTCCGTCAACCTGGTAACGGCATCGTCAGGCAAAACAAAAACAAAAAAAATCAAAATTTCTCGTTCCCTGCCTTCTTCTATTCTCGACCCGCGCCTCTTTAAAAAAATATATCAATATGTTTGACTTGAAATGAAATAAGAAGAATCTAAAGATATCCAGACAACCAGTGACAACAAAACTACAATAATAAAACCCTGACTTTTCAAGTTTGCCTTTCACCTTCTCTTAAGCCTCTGAAAATATTAAGTTCAGGTAGAAAGGAAACTGAATTCAGAAAATGTTTATGGAAAATGGACCTAATAGCAGCTATTATAATCGGGGAAAATATCAAAATTATATTTTTTTTAAAAGCATTCTAAGTTTCGTATAGGCCTACCACATGATCATAACATCTTTTTGCGATCGTGATTAATAAAGTCAGATCAAATCAAACGAAAACAAATCAAATCGAAGATGAATAAAACCTGGTGAGAAAGTATTTAATAATACTGTATATAGGAATGATTAAGAAGAAGATTAGACGGATTCAAAAAAATTGGCCGGGCGTATTACTTTTATCCCGAAGGAAAATTAATATATAGGGCTATAGAAGGGGATTTTCCTTTTAAAGAAATTCGCATTCTTATGATAATCTCAATTTCCCTCTCTCATTACTTCTCGTTACTGTAATGAACGAGAAGGTGGTATTGGATTACACAATTCATATAAGCATTATGACCGCTATATAATCTAGCGTTATTATGTGAACCATATTTATTCTTTCTTTATTGCAAACATATCTGTTTCACAACGAGATGAAAATGAGATATAAATAAAACTTAGACGGATGGAGCTTTATGCCATTATTGATTCAAGACTGGCAGCTTGATTTTGTTTCGGGGTGGGTTTTTTTCTCCACCCACCCCCCCCCCCCCCCCCCCCCTCCGTTATTCTCAAAACTAAAATGCCAGTAATATGGTCATTGTGCAACAAATATCTGGGCAAACATTATCATTCTTACACGAAATCAATATTTATTTTAAATCAAATCGAGTATGGCTGTGACTCATGGTAAAATGATGATGGAGGTACATGATGAACTTATGTGATACATCCAGAATTTAATTACCTGACATGTGGCGAATCTATAATTTTGTGGCAGTGGGGGGGGGGGGGGGGGCACAAAGTTCGAAAATTTTGTACCTCTTTTTTGTTTGGGTGTGTATGGGGGAGGGGGAGCCTAATCCAAATCCCCTTTGCACCCGCCTCTGAAGCAGATTATATTTTTCTACGTCTACGTTCTCTCTCTCTCTCTCTCTCTCTCTTTTTTTTTTCTCTCTCCTCTCTCCCCCCCCCCTCCCCCCCCCCCTCACTCTCTCTCTCTCTCTCTCTCTCTCTCTTTCACTCTCTTTCCTGCTCACTTCAACTCTCCTTATCTTTGTTTCTCTTTCTCTCTCATTTTTCCCCGTCCACTCTACCTTTTCTCTCCCCCCCCCTCTCTCTCTCTCTCTCTCTCTCTCTCTCTCTCTCCCTCTCTCTCTCTCTCTCTCTCTCTCTCTCTTTATATCTCTCTTTCTCATATCTGAACTTGTAGTAGTATTAGTGATATACTGTGCGAGACTTGACGTCCCAATGCACGTTTCCATTTCTTGCAATTGTGTTTTGCCATTGGCATACAGTCATACCTTGTCGTTTATAAAGAAAAAACTAAGTACGAACTATTTTATTTGCTTACCGAGCCAAGATTTCTATTGAAGCACTCATCCAAAAACATGGCTATACATTATAAATCGAGCTTGAAATACTATTCGGAATAAACCGACTTACGCAAACCCTGAACCATTGCAAAATGATGGTGGTTTTCTCTCTCTCTCTCTTTATTTTAATCATGCATTATCAACTACATATAAAGCAGCAACCAAAAACTTAGGGTTATCTGAGATAGGTGAAAGTAAGAGTTAAAAAGAAAGTCATGCTAAAACTGCGCTTCACTTCCCCGCCCCCTGAAAAAAATAAAATAGATTAGTAGTCCTCCTGTCCAGAACCCCCCCCCCCCCCCCCGCTTTAATATCACATTTTCACTTGGCAGCCCAAGGGGGCCGGGGGTGGGAGGAGGGGGTAAAACCCCCATGTTATCTACCCATGTTATCATATCATTCCACGCAGGGGCGGTGATCCCGGGGGGGGGGAGGGACGGGTGACACGTCCCAGTGGCGGATCCAGGGGTGGGCCGAAACGGCCGCGGCCCCCCTATTGGCGAAGCAATAAAATTGAGAAGGAAAAAAGAGGAAGAAAAAAAGAAGGGAAAAAAAGGGGGGAAAAAGGAGAAGATAAAAGAAAAGAGAACAAAAAGTAAAGAAAAGAGAGAGAGTTCAAAAAAGAGGAAAGAAAAAGAAGAGAGGAGCCGGTGAGAAAGCAAGACAACGAAATGGCACTAAAAATTAGTGACAGTAACGACGAATAAGGGAAAGACAAGGGGAAGGGGGTGCGTGAAGGCGGATGCATTAAGGGGAGGGGGGGGGGGGTGACTGGCCGTATTCTTATTTTTAGGTTATGCGAAACTGAGTCGAAATTATGCTTCTTTTCAAAACAATCTTAGCATGCTTGTTTATGTTAAGCCGGAGTGCATGAAAAGGTTAGTGTAGAAACACTTCTGAAAAGGCCGCGCCCGGCCCCTCCAAAGAACGGCAGAATGGTAATCTATAAATATTATGGGGTCATTCTTGATGGCTTGGGAGTCGTTATTAAGGAGGGGGCCCGGCCCTACTCAAATGGTAGTGACGGTAACGATGGATAAGGCAGAGGGGGGGGGGGTCAAACCCCCCTCAAATTTTTGTCAAGTTGTCAAGTTGGTCCTGATGTGTATAATGCGTAGACCAGGGGTTCTCAAACTTTTTCTTTGACGGTCCAGAAGCGATTTCTATGAAAGCTGTAAGGTCCGAAATGACACTTGTATACTGAAGATAATGAGGCTTGTTTTTGGTCTATATCTGATCCAAGGAGAATTGTTACAGTTTTAAAAAAAACAGAACCGCCAGTGCTTCCACTCGTTTAAATAGAGTTTCCTGAAAAAGAACACCCAATATCCTGGAATTTGAAAGAATTTTCTTAAAACATTCAAAATGCCTCTTACGTGGATTTCTTATTTGAATGAATCGCTATGACGTTTTAATATGTATCAATGAGTGGGCTTATTTTGCTTTCTAATGGATCCATACAACGTGACAGAGCTTGAGGGGTCTGGTAG